TATTGGAAGCTCCAACAACTCCCTGAATACGAATTCGCAACTTTCGACTTACAACAGGTACCTACTTTACTGCTAGGTGAACAGGGACTAATGGGGGCTAGGAAGTAAGTCCAAACAACTTCCACCGGCCCGGGGATCGAACCCGTGACATCTCGCTTGCGAGGCAAGAATGGTACCGCTTTTACCACCGGTCCCCCTAATTGTTTATATAATATCCAAAGATGGCGACCGTGACCCCTGAGAGCGCTGACCACACACAAATACAGGGAGGGTGTCTCAAGAAATGCATACACACTTCCTTATCGCGTGAAGGCTTGTATTAAATCAGCACATGTCTCCACTTGTGGGAGACCTCGCATATGGCAGTGTACAGTATAATTTTTCTGAGTCACCCTATTTAACGATAATATTCACATTAAAAAAACAAACATGGAAAACAACCATTGAACAAATCTAATTAAACATTAAATTGTATATCGCTTCCGACATCGCTTGAGTGGTCATGACGTCACTGAAGGCAGGCCCAAGAGGCGGATTATTATATTTCTATCACCATATCTTACTCCAGCCTTATAGATAATCATAAAAGATTATAAAATTAAAAACTGTAGATTATTATTCTTAGACAGAGTAATTAATTCTTGTTATTTCCACGGGAGAGTGTGTGGTGGAGGCGGTAAAGTGTATGGTCATGTTGAGGTGCTTAGTTAACTTGAAGATTAACTACCCTTAAGGCAAACCTAATCTAACCTACCCATAATGCAAACCTAACCAAGCACAAACGTAACCTAACCAAACTACCCTATCCTAACCTAACCCATGTAGCGTTAGGGTGTTTTAATCATCAGGTGAAATAAGCTGGGGTGTCTGTTCTTCAGGTGAATCCTATTTAATTTTTATATTGTACAATAATTTTGTGTTTTGTCAAATTATTCATTGGTTATTTATTATTAATTTTTTTATTTCGTTGTTTATTAGAATGTTATTGTTATTATTTATTTAATTTGTTGTTGTGTGTAAAGGTCACTTGTTTATATTAATGAAACTTGACTGCTGTTAATTCCTCCTCCTTGTGAAGTGTGTGTGTGTGAGACAGACAGACAGAAGGGTGACCCCAACAGTGGTCACCAGGTGAGACGCCATCTGTTGGAGGGAGTGAAATTTAGGAACCTAACTACCCCCCGTTCTCACCCTCTCCCCCTCACACCCCTTCCTCCCTCTCCTATCTGTCTTCCCCCCCCTCCTTCCATCGCACCACCCCTTACTCCCTTCTCCTCCATCCACACCCTCACTCCCCCCTCCACACCCCCTTCCCCCCTCTTGTGACAGTGGATAAAATAGCTAGGACCCGTCACAGAACACAAGACACCGTTGCTGTACACTAAAACACACAAGAAGCAACAAAACCCAATAATATTTCAGGTGGAAGAATAAGAACAAAACGAGTATGTGGTGTAGGCCCAGTGGACGAGAATGTGGGGCAAGTGGTTAGCTGCCTCTACACCACCACCACAAAGAGTGTAGGGGGGGATGGGGGTGGCGGGGGGAGGGTATTGATATTAAAACTTTATTTAGCCAGGAAAAATATAGATAGAAAGTGGACAATAACAACAACATTGGCATGGGTGAGCCTGAGCACCTGATTACTGTACATTTATCTCAAGGAATTATTATATAACATGTAGTATCATCTGGATTACTACATGGTGTTGATAAATACTTATAAGATTGTTACCGCCTTTATTACTTGATTTAATCTTTTTTATTTGTATTATAAATATATATACCACATTTATGCTACAGCTTATAGTTGATATAAGTGGGTGGAAGCGATAGATGTTAGTGGTGACGGAGGGAGAAAAACAGTTCGTGATACAGTTACCATCTTGGAAATTTCGTATGATAACTCTTCTTGTCTCCAATATCTATTTTTCTTGTATTATTTTTGTGTATTAGTTATTTATCCTTCAGTTTTATTTTTATGATCCTGACTTTATTGTTTTTATTTAGATTATTTGTATTTTTGTCAACTTTACTTCCTCCATTCTATTTCCTTACACCTCTCTCACCCCCCGACCTTCACCTCCCTCTCCCTATACCTACTGAACTTACCTCTCTCTGACCTTCACCCATACTTTCCCAAGCCTAGTCTACCGTTCCAAACTTTCACCTTTTATCATAATTACCTGGTGAACACAGTCTACAGTACACCTGATTCATGCTAGCTTCGCCTTGCACACTGAACTCACTCTTTAAAAGGATTACCAGAACATACTTTATAACTTATTTTACTTAAAGATTAGACTTAGGTTAGTTCAGGTTATTTGGGTTAATCTCCAGGTGAAATATGTAGCATTGTCTAATCTTCAGGTGAAATAAGCATGGGCTAATCTTCAGGTGGTACGTTTAAAGGCTATGTGGTATAGGCTGTACACTAGTGATTTAGGTCGTGTACATGGAGGGTGGTACCTACCAGCCTGGCCTGCCTAACCCTGTCTGCCCAACACCTCACCCATATCCTGACTTTCTCCTGGCTATGATCCCTCCCCTCCCCTCCTACTCCCCTCCCCTCCTCCTCCTACTCCCCCCCTCCTCCACACACACCTTCACGACCACCACCATACACACACAAACAACCACTATTACACATACACACGTTAGTAATACATATAAGTTTTCTTTCTTGCAAACAATAATATATAAACATACGTATTGTTTAATGATACACCAACAGTGCCTAACAGAGACGTGACCGATCGCCCAAGCGGCTAACGAGCCGATCAGTGGTGAAGAGGATAAAAGAAAAAGAGCATTAGTATAAAACATACAGTATAAGTACAAGTGATGGCAGTACAGTTTGGTGAAGGTGGCAGCTTGACCAAGATCTGATGACAATTAATTTAGCTGAATCTAATTAGTATATTTAGTAATGTCTGAGCAGCGTTACACTCAGTTAAACACCAAACTTATTTGTTCAGTCATTATCTTGGAGTCAGGATCCTTACAGCAGGCAGGAAGGAGAGAGAGATTGTGTGTGAGCACGTTTTGCCACACTGATATCTCACCTTTTTATTATTTATCATTACTTCACTTATCAGCTTACTAGCCGTTCGGGCGGTTAGTCTATCCAGTGTTCGTACAGGATGAAACTGGACTGCGGGAAACCTGTGATGTTTGGTATAGGGGTCACACTGGGTAACACCCTTGACATATTGGTGAGAGATATGTGCGTTACCTTACCCATATCATAACACATAAATTAACCTACCCAAATCCAACCCAACAGCGAGATGAATACCGACTGACGCCAAGGAGAAGGATCAATCGGCTCACACCACCCACAAATGCGTGTACAGTATTCCACTCAGACAGTGAAAACCACCACCCACACAAACACCCAGTGCCTGCAGACAAGTTCTTGCTTTACGGTCATGAGGTGAGTGTGAATTTCTGGTTAGGTTTTTGCTGGAGCTGCTACAAGGTCAAGGCTGGGAGGAGACTTGATGAGGGGAAGGGGGGGGGCAGACTTATTCACCCCTCTTCACCCATCCCCCAAAGTTACGTCCTCCGCAAAAACTGCCCAACACTTTCCCTCACAAAATACTACTAGGGAAAGTTCCGCCACACAATTTTCCATTAAACGAAAAAAAAAAAGAATCAGTTTTTTTGTTTCTTCAAAATTTCACCACCAAGATAATTAACATCCCAGTTTGTTGGGTTGGGTTAGATTGGGTTAGAGTAGATTAGGTTAGGCTGGACTGGGTTAGGGTAGGCTAAGTTAAGTTAGTCTGGGCTAGGGTAGGTTAAGAGAAACATACTTGTCATTTGGTGAAATTTTCAGCAAATGGATCAGAGAACACATTTAATAGGTATAAACGTGAATAGTGTATGTATACATAGATAAGTTGGCAGGTAGACAGGTAAGTAGATGACAGTAGTAAATTTTTAAAGGGGCCTCACACAGGAATCATTTGCCCCAAGCCCCAGACCCTCAATAAGGTCCCGCACCCCAAATTAACCCGGCATTACTCGGGCTTCACACCCCTAGGGTCGGCCCTGAGGGAGAGCCACCAGGAGATAAGGTTTTACACTGGTAGATTGAGAGTGAAACTTGACAATAAAGTCATTATAGTTTTCATACTTTTTACTCTGGATAATACTACTCTTTTATATAGTGCAGTACTCCTGTTATAAGAATAGGCTGCCAAAATTGATTGGTGATGATGAAAAGTAATAATAATATATACAGTATTCGGTTTTCTCTCAATTCTAAAGTGAGAGAAAATATATTTACCGTTAGTGATTGTAATTAATGTTCCGGGGTAAACAAACACACACACACACACACTTTCACCAGGAGGAAAGCGTGACATGGGTTGGATCAGAGGGTCGCAGGGTGGACGTAACTACCATATGTTTTATTTGTTAGAAAGTTCCTCTTTGGTCATTCCTTCCGAAAGTGTTAGTGTATGTTAGTTACCACTGATTATGTGTGTCTGTGTATTAATGATGTTGGTTACCACCGATTGTGTGTATATATATGCATGCATTTTGTGTGGATGTATGAATGTGTGTTCATTACTTATGTTTTAAAAATTTCTCCCACTTATTATTTGGTGATTGAAAAAAAAACTTACAGAAATAACTTCAAACATATATTTATTGTCATCTACTCAATGTTACCGGTGTAAAGAGGTATGAAGCCTTGACTGTGTGAAGAAAAAATATTGAACAATAGCTTACTTTTTGTATCTTCATTGAATGCATAAAAAAAAAATTTGTTTTGGGCTGTATAAAGGCAAACCAACAACATATAAATATGTAACATGTGTGTGGACCAGGATTTTGTACTCAACTTTCAATAAATAAGTGCATAAGGGCAAGGCATATTGTGAAAAATATACATGTTATATAAATACAGACACAAGTACAGATGGTATGTGTACAAAGAAACCTGAGGCCTTTCTAGCATGGAGGTAGTGACTGGAGAGAAAAAGCAGTTACTTTAAGATCTTTATTCTATAATGTAACATTTTATTTGCACTGGAACATGAACAGTTGTGCTTGAATCATAAACAAAAACTTTTATACCCATAAGGCAAGATAACAGTGGTAATGTACAGTACAGTAAAGCTCACAATGGACTATGTAGTACCAGAGACTGAATGACTAAGACATCTGGTTTATTGTACTTTTCACCTGTGAGAGTTGAGCCATTGCGGCTATGGATTACGTGTTTAATAGTTCACAAAGGTGCATCAAACATCAAAACCTCTTCCTGACACACGGTATGGCTGAGGTTTTAATTATACTGTACTCTACTGGACTAAATTACAATATGAATTATACCCTGTTCTCAGCATCCTCAAGAATGATTACACAATTAACTGAACTTAACATGACTCTCATGGTGAGTGAGAATGCTGACAACAATACTTGTTATAAATATTATTGACATTTTTTAATAACCTATCCACTAATGCCACTGAGCCTGGATTTATTTGTCAAACTCCAGCATCAGCCAATGGGGCCTGATGTCGTGTACTGTATCACAGTGCAACTGAGATATATTTGTCTCTTCCTTAACTTTTTCGTGGAAAAATACATCAGTCAAGGTCTAGGCTACTCACCAGAAGACGTTATATAAAAAAATCTTATAAAATGGTATAACATTTTGTGAGAAAAAATCCCGAACTTCACCAAAGAGCTCCTGTTCATCAAGATGGGGGAAATCCCCTGGATGGGTTATTAAAGTGAGCTGAGGGAGACGTTGATAGGTTACATAATGAAAACATTTTCAACAGTTCATCAATGTTATTCTGTATGAGACCTTTGGAAACTCCCATTAATAAGTGGTACCAAGCTGGGGGTGTTGGAAGAGTTTTTACAAACATTTGTTATTTGTTTAGTGGCCATCACATTACTAGTGCCCTTGTCGAAGGAAATGATGCATATTGGCTTCAATAGGATCATGCCCATTGTTCCTGGGTTCTTGCTGTTTGGTGGTGATAGGTAGTCTTTTACATTTTATCTTCTTCATATGATAAAGTACAATAGACTGATACTGTATATACATATACATTTGTAAATTTTGGGGAAAAATAGATACTGTACTGAATATAAATTTTGAATCAAATTTTTATACTGCACAACTTGTGAAGTGTGATTTCTGTTGGTCCAGCCACCAAAATGCTGTCTGTATGTAAACAACGCGGCAGGTAATGTGATTTTATTCACTGCCCGCCCACTGTTTTGTGGTGTTGTATACTCTGTGATTTTGATAATCACGTCTTTACTGTTGGGATACAGTGGTGGTTCAGTATACAGTACTGTACTGTATTATGTTAAATGTGGATTTCCAAAGAAATTCACAACAAAACATTTCTGATACCACAGTAGAGTACTTCCTCATATGTTCTTCATGGTGACTGGGCCATCCTGACTATGGTGTCTCTTAAGGTTTAAGACATGCACAGCACACCTCACAACCACATACTCACTCATATTTTCTTCACACACACATTACAACATGTTCATGCACATAATACCTCATGAAAGGGTTTATACACCTTAACAACTTATCAATTAAACAGATACATACACATACAGTACATACATACATACATACATCAGAAACTAAATATATTTAAACTTTAAGGATAAAAATAATATATATTACTGTTCATTGATTCAAATACTGTACACCAAAATTCTATGCCTACAGTGTACTGGATTTGCATGCAACAATTATAAGACGTTTATCCATAACACATCAATAATTAAGATAAACTTGACCATGCACATCTAATAAAATTTTCACAGAATCCATTAACTTTTTTTTTCAATGTTACAAAATGTAGAAAACTATAAAGCTTTTGTAAACAATAATACTCATGGACCCACAAGTGGTTAAATATATCATCTACTTAAGTACCAACAAAACAAGTGAGAATGTTCATAAATCAAAGTTAATGATGCTTCAAAATGAGAACAAATGATATTAAGATACAGACCCAACATTTAAGCTCGAGAGATTTCACTTACCATCGTGAGAAATACAGTCAAGGTTTCCTGGAGGTACGACTATAAGGTTTGTCTAATCATATTTCAACCAATGAAAAATATCTATAAAAATCTCATTGATAATATGATGTAGATTCTTAAGAGCATTTCGCTCAAAACTATAAATCAGGTACTAGGTTATCACTGAGCACTCTTATAGAATGCCAAGATTCAGGTGGTGGTTTTTTCTAAGGAGGGAATGGGATAAAAATCTGAATTAAGGAAATGACACAACTGTACAAAAAAAATGCCCTACTGTACTACCCTTTATGTTACTGTGAAAAGAGGATGGAAAGGATAGAAATAATTACTGTAGTTTTACTTAAAGTCAACACACCTCTTCTCCAGCACTGCAGTAGTGTGTTTTTTAAGTGCCTCACACACATGAATTATCTGTGTGTGCTTAATAAACCATTCCCCAATACCTGTATCAAAAAGGTTGACATGTGCAGAGCCACTTCCTTTCATTCCTTCCCTTGCATAGAGACAGTAGCACACACACACACACACAATCGGATAAAAACAACCCTCAACTCTACCAAACCACTCCTGCAGACACACATCCTTTCTCTAACTCAAATTCTCAGTTTTCCTCTTTCTCTACTTGCTCACATACCAACACATAATGGCCTCTTCCTTCAGTTTTCCACTAAGCGTCTTGTTTTGCTAACTTTCTTCTTCTTAATTACACTTATATGCCCCCTTAATCCTCACTGCACAAGAGCCTCATGAACAATTCACTGCCAACTTACCCTACACTTTATTTAAACACAAAAACTTTCTTCTCTATGAAACCTGTACAGTGCTGCATTTGTTTTTCCCCAGTAACAATCACTTTGTAAGATCAGGCATCTACTTGACGTTCACATAGCTTAGAGGGGTTTCGATTTTAATATATGTATACTCATAATTTTGTCAGCCATTTCATATTAAAATGAAAAGCTGCCTTCATGACCTATAAATCACCCTTAAATAGATGCCAGATATTGTCGATTGTCAAAGAAATCCTGACTGTAACAGAATTTATGATTGCCTTTGGTATATTTAAGGAGTTGGAATGAACAAGGTATTATAAATACATAACAGATTTAGTTTGGATTTCCTTTATGAAAACTTAATGAAATCTATTGACAGTTTTTCTATGATTGACTCAGAAAAATAGACACATTCTGCCCATCCTGTGGCAGCCAGCCCCTTGTGACAGATAAGATGGGCTGTTGAAGAGTGATATTGGATTGTGAGGTAACTGGGTTAAACCAGACAGATATATTAGGGTCTTACTGTGGAATGTAAACACCATAGCAGAACACACTATGTTAAATGAGTATAAAATTAATAAAGGGAGACTGTTCTTGTTCTGACCAGCGTGATACAACAACTGGTTTGCTTGGGAGAAAAGTAATACTGTACAATAATGATGCTCGCAGTACTGTACTGCTATGACAGTTGTAAGAAATTTGAAAACAACAAAGTGGTTTACAATAATTAGGTAGGTTAAAATATTTAGGATGTGAATCAAGGAAATGCTACAGTACTTAATTATGGGTTAGAGAAACTTGGGTCTTAAGATATATAGACATATCTTTCTACTTTACTCACTGAAAGAAGATTAGTTAAAGAATTGATATAACATAAATAATTGTAAGCAGCTGTAAAATAACAGATATGCAAAAGATAAAGAATTAACAGAACATAAACAAGTGTAAACAGCGGTAAAATAACAGACATGCAAAAGATAAAGAATTAACATAACATTAACAAGTGTAAAGTAACAGATGTATGCAAGACTGGGCAGAATGTCTTACACAAGTCAGTCTCCTGAAAACTAACTTCAGCACTTTATAAATGTAAATATGAAAGTGGTGTGTGATATATCTTAACACAGTACATACAGTATTATGGTTGAAATGGATTTCATCATCAATATATGTAAAGACATCACAAAAAAATCTGCCAGAGCCAAGTGTCAGGAGTTGCAAGGGCAACACATCCATGAGGCCTTACTTACTGTAAGGTCAAAGCCATGAGTCATTGCTAATTCTCTTACAAAAGCCTTATCTTGCCGAGGGTTAAGGCCAATGGCTCCTATGTCCTTATCTTTCATAACTGCTGAATCACTATTACAAATATGATACAAGGTAGAGAAGATTTGGTTATTTAAATCTTGAAAGAATCTTCTGAAATCTACTATACAGTTGTGAGAGCTCCGTGCAATGTGATGCAAAGATGCAAGGCGTTTGCGATCTTCTGGGGTGACCACTAACACTCGACGCAATATACCTGGAATCCTCACACTTTGGTTCTCAACATATATATCACACACTCCTGTTTTTTCTTCAAATATCTTTTCTGTTGTGCCTGAAATAAAAAACAAAACAAAATCATTAATAGCATTTGGGTTATTTAAACTTTTCAATATTTTATTTTCCCCCTTCATTTTTATTTTCCCATTCCTATGAAATATATACAGTACAATAAGTCCTCGTTTAACGTTGTCTGGTTTGTTATAACTCTTTAGATACCCATGATTCCGACAATGTCCCGACCGATTCGTTATAGTGTTGTCACCCAATACGGACTACTTTGTATGGCACATCACCCTCTCTCATCTTGGCGTGCTACGCTCTCTCGTGGAGACTCACAGCGTCTCCAGTCTTTATTAAACTTCCACAGCATACATGCGTGCTTAAGTGTTTTTACGATCAATACTGTACTGTAACCATTCAAAATGGCTTCCAAGCACCCATCAAGTGTTAGTGATGTCAGAGTGGGAAGGGGAGCCCCCCTCCGGGTCTCAGTGACTCGCCACTCTCCACTATCCACCACACACTCGCTCCACCTCTGCTCATCAGGGAGTACAATACAAAATGATTTAATTTATTTATCTTTTTGGATGTATAATATATACTGTACAGTACAGTATTTATATAAAAATTCCATTGAATTTATGTACAGTATACAGCATGTAATGTATTTTATGGGGCAAAGGGAGGCTGGGGAACGTAACTAGCGTATTTTATCTATTTCTTATGGGGAAAATTGATTCCGTTAACGTTGTTTTTTCAAGAACGTAACCACATTATGCGAGGACTTACTGTACTGTACAGTATACCATATTCAAGAGAGCAACCCTTATTCTCTTAACACATAGCTTTCTAATGCTACTGGACCATATAAAGTTTCTTATCCTTGGACCATATAAAGTTTCTTTTCCTTTAGTATTAACTACAGCAACATAATCAACTCCTTAATGCCTTCCCTAAACATTTATGCAAATGACCAGAGCTTGAAACACACTTGATCAGATGTGTAAAGCTCTACTGTATGACCACTGATGATTTTTGAAGGCACAGCATTGATTTGAAACTGAAGTGTTAGCAAAAATAATAATACAGTTCAGTAGTAATATCTCCAAAAGCCGGAATCCCTCAAACTCAGACCTCTCTGATAGCTGGAATTGAAATTTTCTCAGAAAATCCTTCCCAAAGCCGCAATTTTCCTGATACCCGGGGATGGGAGAGTTTTTTCCGGGTTTGAGAGATGAAAATTGGGTGCATTTTCTGGAAATTCCAAGAAAAATTCCGTTGCCCAGAAAATTATGGGGATGAGGGATATTTTTTCGGGTTCGAGAGATGATGTAATGGGCAATTTCTCGAACTTCTGAGAACATTTTTCCCTTACCCGGAAAATTCCGGGGATGAGGAATTTTTTCCGGCATTGAGAGAGTCATCTCGTTGCCCCGAAATCTCTCATTTCCAGAAGTGCTCTGCACCAATTGTTCCGGCTAAAGGGGGGATATCACTACAGCATATAAAAACTAAGAGTACGTATAAGTAACATGTGAATGTATGCAACAAAAGAATGATAGTCCATGACGTATTGTTTTAAACAACATTGGATTGCTATTCCTGCTAGGGTTCTTACATGCAACATAAGAATGTTGTTCCTGCAACAAGTCCATGTCGGCAATACTGATGTAAAAGAGCGGACGCAGGAGCTGCGTTGGCAGGCCTGGTGTACTGTGGGCACTGAGGAGGGAGATGGAGTGTACCCGGCCACACACCGGACCAATAGGAGGTGGGGAGAAGAGCAAAATTCGTTTACACAGAAGTGTGGCCTTCCAGAGTATTATCAGCTGTTCCCCAAAAAACTTCACAAGGTGGAAGATTCCTTCACCAAGGACAGGCGTCTGAAACAAACATTACACTGGTATTAATAATGTGACATCATACTGGTGTCCATAATGTGATGTAATTGTCTCAGTTTTTAAGTGAACTCGTAACTAGTGAGATGTGGGATAAGATAACTGTTTTCATTAACTTAATTCAAAGAGAAAAATCTTGCCTACAGTTGAACCCTTACAAGGGACAGGTGAGGGGAAGAAGACTCATCGCCACCACCATTTTATGGCCATTTTCCATGCTTGTGAAGGTTAGCTGTGATACTCTGACGGCATTTCTCCATACCGCACAGCCTCTTTCGGCCTCTCTCATCTGAGGTAATTTCTTATTACCTCCACTATGTCATTCTTGGCCTACCCCTGGTCTACTAAATTTCCTGCTCACTTCTTTGTTTTATTATCGTTTACATAAGTGTTTAAGTTCACAGGATCAATGTTTTTTCCATTTTTTTATTTCCCATTGCTTTCCACTTTTTATATCTCCCTGGCCATAAGTGAAAGGTTTTTATTCACCTGAACTTTGCTATGGTTAACTTGTCTTTTCATGAAAAAGTTTAAACTTCCAGATGACAAATTGCTAATACAGTTTGGTAAAGTATTGTACACTTAGTTTCCCAAATTGAACATATGAAGAGACAAAAAATGGTAGTGAGGAAAAAGAACAAGTGAAACTTAAGGGGGTTAATATATTCCACACTTACTAGGTTATGGATAACTGTAGGAGGCAGTAGTTGGTGGGTGACCTTCTGAGGCGTGTCCCAGCTGGAGGGTATTGAGGCTTTTCTAGATAGGTAATACTCCTCAAGTCCACTGTAGTCACCAGGTTTCACCACCATATTCCTGATGGTAAGATAATAACAAGTAATAATTGAAAACTCTAATCATATCTACTATTTCAACTATCAGCCAGTACAGTACATACAGTGCTATATGTCCATCACTAATGATGTAACTCACCATCTACCAGTATACTGTATTAAGTCACGTTTTACTTCTACACACTCACACAAACTCAGCTTATTTATTTTACTTCATAAATAACAAAATAAAGAAACATTCATAATATCGAGGACTACTGTACAGTGACCCCTCGGTTAATGAACTCAATCCATTCCAGAAGGTTGTTCGTTAACCGAGGTGTTCGTTAAACGAGGGGTCACTGTACAATGCAATCCACTTTTTACCCATGTCAATTTTCTTTAATATATACAGTATTCCATAATAAACAAGGTTTTCTACAATAAAATTTCTGTATAAATGAAAGACTTAGTATCTGCCAACAAACTGAGACGCTATATAATTTTTTTAAAGTAAAAAAGCTTTACCTGACTTGCTGTGCTAAATATTCCAAATGTTGATGGATGGCATAATAGTTTGAAACAATCACGCCAATACTCTTCATCCGAGCTCCTCGTTCAACATCAGAGATGATTGTCAACTTCTCATAACAGGCAACACCATAATAATCACCTTGCCGAAAGAATCTGAGAAATTAAAGCGATGTGTAATATATTTGTTATCAATTAAAGCTGTTTACAAAGATTACTAACACGATTTACCAGCAGTTTCCCATTTTGTGATGTAATAATGCACCTATTACTGTGCACTTCCATTGTAAAAACTACATATATGTGTGTATATATATATATATATATATATATATATATATATATATATATATATATATATATATATATATATATATATATATATATATATATAAAACAGGTTTTTAATAGAAATGTTTTGTGTATGCAATGATGATAAGGCAATAATAAATATAAGATAAATATAAGTAGTGGATGACAATGTTACTGAGACGCTGCGCCACTGGTTGTCATGCAATGCGAGTCTGCAAGGTCCCACTGCACTTTACATAGGTACTGTACTGTATAGACATTTTGAGAGGACAGACTTTCACTTTGATTGTTTGAGGGTTTTTTTGCTGAACTTATCTATTTAATATTTTAGTCTTTCCATTTACATCAAATCCACCTCTGGAACACATCAGCATTCCTATTCAAAACAACTTAAATCAGCCTTTTGCTACTGCATCACAAAATGATTCTGAGAGCCATAACTAAAAAAACCCACTGTAGTTAACTACTCTTAAAACAGTGCAGTATTGTATGTTGTTTTTAATTTAACCTTTTAACTGCTATCATTGTCTTCAGATGATTTTGGGGAAAACCACCATTGCCGTCTTAAAACGACTGGCATATGGTACTGTACCATAAATTTAATGTTCTGCACCAAAAATCACACTAAAAATGGAAATTCAATGATTGGTAACCATTCTAGAGTGAGCCACTAGGCTGGTGGAGCCTCAGAATCAACTTGCTATTATTATCATAATTTGATTTGTTATTATTTATGCCTCACCACCCTCCTCCTATCCTCAATGGCCCCTCATCCACACCTGAGACACCAAAGCCTGGCTTGCCACCCACTTTGCTCCACAAAAGCCCACCGCTGCATTACCACAAGCGCGTCATTTGTCACCACAACAACAGCAACCAGTGTTCACCAGTTGTCCCCAGTTACTTGGCCTCACCTCACAGACTTATAATTCACCACACATGATGAGTAACATTACAATGTTTCAATGTTCCTTCTTCATAAATATCATATGTGACTAATTCTATCTCTGCTAAGCCATGCCTGTTATTTCCGTATACAGTCTCTCCTCGACTTACGACAACCCGGACATACGACGGCCATGGTCGTATAAAATATTATTCACATTACGTATTTTCGAGTCCTGACGTTACTGATCGCGCTGTGTACTGACAAAATTTTCGTTTGTAATTCCCTTTAAAATGGCTGGCAAGTGTAAAAGTGAGAGTTCTTGTGGTGCTGAGAAGAAAATGAGACACCCATTTTAGAATTTCTATGTATTATTTTCGTCTTTTCAACTTACGACCTGGTCGTCGGGACGGAAACCCGTCGTAAGTCGAGGAGAGGCTATAATGTACATAACAAATAGCGTGGAGATATAGTATCTTACCTACTATACGGTATATATACATACATACCGTATAGTAGGAAAGAAGTCATAATTACCAGTAATGCATTTACGACATGCAGTGTGTGGGTGTTGCTACAAGTGTATACTACAGTATACTGTACAACCTGGTGTCAGTAAAGGACAAAAAGGTATATTACTGTATATAAAGTGGGTAATGACTCAAGAAAAGAGTCCATTCAACTTCTTTAAACAACAAACTAACGTCCCTCCCACATTCTTGCACTATAAACAGAGGAAGTTTTGATGGGGATTAAAAGACAGCAGTATTGGAGTACTGTGTGTGTTAATGTGCTAACTCATGGCATAAACACAGGTCAATATAAACATATCCTAATCCTACATTATTTTGAAGAATTCTGTATTTTGTTTAGTTTTATAAAAGTTATAGTCCGAGTCAAATAAACAATTATAAAGAATAATAAAAAGTACAGTATATGTATGCATACATGAAGTCTGAGGTGATTGTGTGTGCACCACTGATAAGAGCACGGAACTCGATCCCCTCCAGAGCTAACTCCTGTGGCATATACCACTCTAGCACGTTACCTGAAAGGATGACAATACAGTACTGGAGACTAATAACATGCATATAAAGTACAAAATAAGCAAACATTGTGTAAACATCTGAAGACAATAAGTACAGTATTACCAGAAGTGTCCTTTTGACATTGTCCACAGAAATATCACTAACAGTAATGGAAGTGTTCCTTATCCTGGTGATATATATATATATAAATATATAAATATATATATAAATATATATATATATATATATATATATATATATATATATATATATATATATATATATATATATATATATATTATTTTTTTTTCATGATTGCAGATGCTCTAACAATCTCTCATTCTAAATAGTGTTTTGTATCCCCTGAAGACTGGCCACCCTAGCTTATTTCACCTTAAGATTAAACACCCTAATGCTAGCCTCATCAGGGCGTTTATGATTTATTCATTTTTGGTTCTTAATTAAATCCCTGGCGAGGCAACAGCTTAGGTCATATGTCGCCAATTTGGGTATTTAATCATCAGGTGAAATAAGCCTACAATGTTTACAATCTCAGTCGTATATTATTTCCCAAATTGTGTATCACTTTCCTCCTGGTTCTACTCTCCATCATCATATACAGGTATTCCAGAAATTTCCTCCTCCTCTCTCCTCTTGTGTATGTTGAAGACACTTTAATTATGGCTGAAAATATGAGTAACCTCAACAATTTCTGGCAGAGAGAGACACACAATTAGATATATTAATGTAGTACAGTACCCACTTTATGCCCTAATTTTGGACCCTGGCATTAAATATTTCCTACAACTTGTACTAGTTTTATTAATGTAGAAATATAACAACAGCTTTACAGATGCCATTATCGTCTCAGGAGATCATAGGAGGGCAGTGATTTACGTATTAATAAATAACAACAACAATATGCTGTACAATAAATAGAAAATTGTACTGTATCAATAACAACCATAGATGCGTCACAAACTATCATCATTGCACTATGGCTGCCATAATGTTCAAAGTACCAAATACCATTTTAGATTTAGATACTTTAGATAATTACCTTCTTTAGAATCAAAGGTGACGACAAAAATGCTGATGACGTCCGTGGGTGGTGTATATGGAGTAATATTATTAGTGCCATGGTTGATGGTTGATGGTGGAGTCTGGGTGTTGCTGTATGGGGCCTGGGTGTCAGCCTCCCCAGGTCTTGCCACGTGTTGAGTCTCTCCATGTTGGTGGTGTGTGTGTGTTATGGTGCCGTCAGTCAGCAGGGTGGTGGTGCTGGAGGGCTGGTGGTCGCTGGCCGCCATTGCCTCACCTCCGACCTGCTGCGTCTTACTCCACTAAAATGTTATTTATTATTGTGTTTTATTACCACCGGGCGAGAACCTTAATATTATTCCTTTTGTATAATTAGATATATTGAGTATAGGCGTACATGTCTGGACGGCATCTTGCATAATCATAAGTCCAAACTCTATATGTCGTCTGTATATCGAGGTTGTGATTGGTGCATAATGTATAAGTGATTTCTTAAATTAAATAAACTACGTTTTGATTGGTCTATATCGTGGCAGACAGCCCCGCGCTGACTCCTCTCAGCCAATGAACGACTGCTACACACACCGTCTTGGTGCCTCTGATTAAAGGCTAGATAAGTTCCAATGTTATTTTCAAGTTTTACGATATTTTTTTATTTCCAGCATTTTTAACCGTACATTTTCTTCTTAGCGAAACAGTGTTCCTTTCAGATGTTTTTAAAATTAAGAACATTTTTATATAATGAAAGGTGAGTAGCTGTAGGGATTGTGGGAGGGTAGAGAGGGGAAGACGTCGGGAGTTTGTGAGTTTTGTGAAGAGTTTGTTGTATGGATTGTGAAAAGTAACATCTATCATAGCAGTGAAGCTGCACCACCACTCTGGAATAAACGTGTTTTATTACAGTTCAGGCAGAAATGGACACACTTGGTAAGTACATAGCCTTTGTAAAGGTTAGGATTAACTTAGTAAAGGTGAAAAGGGCGTGTAGTGGCCGCAGGTGAGCCACAAGAGGAGTCAGAGAAGTAGTGGTAATCGAGTGGGGGTATTGACCATATCAAATACAGCTTGTCTTCAATGGCGAACAAAGTAATGTTAGTGGGCCTATCATCCTCGCCCTCTTATATAACCACTATTGACGCCGTGAAGTGCAGCAAGTAAACGAGTTATGTGGTGGTGTGAATGTGGGCGGGTGTGTGGTGGCGATGGTGGGGGTGACAGGAGGTGTTGTAGTAGTAGTGGTAGTAATGATGGTGTTGAGTCAGCCGGCCGGTCCTCACTACCCTTAGCTTTATATCCCCCCCTCCGCTTCTCTCTCTCTCTTGGTATCCTCTCCCCACTCACTGTGTAATTGTTTTTCGACGTGTGAGAGAGGAGGGGAGTAGAGGTGTGGAGTGTTAGGACCCACTAGTGTACCAATGGTCTTCGGATTCACTCACAGGTTCAATGTTTTGCTATTGTTGCTGTCTCATTCATGGTTCACTCCACTATTGTACCATTGCTGTTCATATATTATTTCAGCCTACTATTGTACCATTAATGTTCATTTATGGTTCAGCCCACAATTGTATCATTATTAGTGTTGTTCATCATAGTTCAACTCTAGTATGTTGCTATTACTAATGTTCAATCATGGTTTTTCTCATTATTGTACCACAAGTAGTGTTGTTCTTTCAGGGTTTGAGTCCCCCCATTATACCACTCAGTAGTGGTTTAGCCCACAGTTGTACCATTGGTGTTAAGAAGGTTCAAGTCTAGCTGCACATTTTTATTAATTAACTTAAAACAACAAAGTACATACAAAAAGTCTCCCTCTGTTTAGAAATATCTCCGACACAATCAGCAGTACCCATTATTCTGAATTGACCAAGTGACAAAAAAACTTAATTACATTTGAATTTAGCCTGTGGTGTGAGACATTAGTGCAGAGTGAATGTCAGTTATGTCTACACTGTATATGATCATATAACACCTTTAACAATTTAGAATAAACAAAAATCCAGGTAGAATACTGACAAGTGTATCATTGAATGTATGAAGATTCAACAGTACACTTGTCAGTATCATACCTGCAGTGTTTTGTTTTATCAATTTGTTAAATGTCATATCTTCTGTAGAAATAACTGACATACACTCTACACCAATGTCTCACACCACACACAAAACAATGCCCCATCCTGCCATGAGAACTTATCAATATTTCTACTTATTTATCATCTAGAAATACAAAATATCTATTACACCACCATCTAGATGCCTTTTTAAAGCATATACAGTATTTAACAAATGTAAGAAATAGCAAAATGATAAATTAAATCATGGCAACAGAAGAAAGTTCCCTGACACCAGGCCTGCTGCCCACAAGGGACACACAGGTTAGGTGAAGGCGATAGTATACCATAACATGGTATACTGGGATCAGCAGTGACAAAAGCAAGTTTGTGGATGACACCAAAATAGGGCGGCAGATTAATTCTGGGCAGGATGCAAATGCACTACAGGAGGATTTAAATAAACTGCAGGAGTGGTCAGAAAAATGGCAAATGAAATTCAACACCAGCAAGTGCAGCGTACTTAATATTGGAAGAACAAATACAACCTTAACAACATCAACCTAGAGCAGTCGACTTGTGAAAGAGACTTAGGGGTACTTGTAAGCTTGGACCTACGGCCTAGAAAACAGTGCATTAATGTTCGAAATAAGGCAAACAGAGTACAGTATTAGGTTTTATATCTAGAAGTGCAAGTAATAAGAGTGCAGAGGTCTTATTGCAACTATATCTTGCACTAGTCAGGCCACACCTCGATTATGTGGTTCAGTTCTGGTGCCCTTATTATAGAATGGATATCAATTCACTGGAGTCGGTGCAGCGAAGAATGACGAAAGTGATTCCGGGACTTAGAAACCTTCCACATCAAGATAGGTTAAAGAAACTAAACTTGCATTCCTTAGAAAGACAAAGAGTGCGGGGAGATATGATGGAAGTATTTAAGTGGGTGAAAGGAATCAATAAAGGAGAAATAGGTATAGGAGGGAGATAGGAAGGAACTGGTTCACAAATAGGGTGGTGGACGAGTGGAACAAGCTTAGCAACTTTGTAGTAAGTGCTGGAATGCTGGAAAGTTTTAAAAGAAGGCTAGATAGATTCATGGATTATAGAGAGTGATAGTAACTCTCGACAGGAGCTGCCATGCACAGGCCAACCGGCCTGTTTTCTTATGTTCTAATGTAAAAAAAAACCCAGATTTTACTGACAAATACACATTATTTGATTTTTGAAAGCTTGTGTAAGGTAGTAGCTAAAGCACAAGTGTAAATAACATACAGTACTGAGAAATGTACAATAAAGATTAACAGTGGCACAGTGCATTATGACTAGGAGAGTGGTATGTTTTGATGATCCCTCAGTCCAGTACATTGTGACTTGGGTACATTACAACCATGTATGTACTGGCCTACTTACTTCATATGAGTATATACCTAGTGAAGGGTACAGCTAAATGCATCTTCAAATAAATCTTAAACAATTGAAAGAAATATTTTGGTATACAGTACTGGACTGTATTTGATTTTTGTTTATAAGCATGTGCAGCTAGACATGAGCTTGACCACTCATGATAGTGTTGGTCATACTGGTACAGGTGTCACACTCGCTTCTCACCATTGTGACTTGTATGTGATACCTGCATGGCTCAAATATGATAGGGGTATTGCACACTGTGCCCTTACTAGAAACTAAGTTTTCTCAGGATACTCCTGTTTCCTCCTTTACCAACACAGGACCCATCGGGGATGGCCCTCACTAGGCCATTAATGTGACTAGCAAGTCATAATCAGTAGAAATAAATAAAAAAAATTTTACCAGTGATAGTGTTGGTTCAACAGTGCCTTCTATCATACCTCATGTTCATTCGTGATTGGGACCACTATTGTATCACTTGTGTTCAGGATTAATAGGGGTATAAGTAGCAGCAATTAGGCTGTGGAGTGCTTGCAAACAGTGCTTCAGAAATTTGAAGAAAAAATCATGATTGATTGTATGGGGTCAATCATACAGCATTGCACCCTGTACTGTACTGTATGCAGTATGAGGTATATACTCTTAAGTTTGTCATATCTCATTGCCAAAACCTCCGCTTCACCACCAGTGGGTGAAATAACAGCCAATCAGTGGACGTTTTGCAGTAGTAATGTAACTTTTGAGCAAATTTAACCGATATTTTATATACTTTTTGGCCTATTTTATTAGAAAATATGGTTATCATAGTGAAATTCAGCACATTTTTTACTTGTTGAAGTGCTTTTTTATAGAAAAAATAGTGACCGTCAACTCGTCCATTTGAGTCCTGCCAGTACCTGTACAGTATAGAATGTACCAGAGCTATTGGTGTATGTGGGCATTGTAATTACAGTAGAGTGTATGTATAACAGCGTGAGTCATTGGACAAGTTACATGGCTGACTTCCGGTACCTTCTTTCAAGTTGCTGAATTACAGTGCAGTACTGTATGGTACACCAGTATTTTTCACTATACTGTACAGTACTATATTGTATTTTTTTTGGTAGGTGTGCTTTGGTGAGAAAGAACCAATGTAGGACTTTTGGGTGATGCCATAATTTAAATACAGTACAGTAGGTAGGACATTGGTAAAACAGGGAGGGAGGGAGAAAGACCAGTTCACAAAAGTAAACACCATGTGGGTACTGTACTGTACTGAGAGTGTAGCGGAGGGACACTTTGCACATCTGATACAGTTGCGGAAATGTGTATCTACGTCCCGTGGTAACCCGTGTCTCCAAACGGCAACGTTGCAGTAGTAGTACAATTTCACTTTATGAATGAATGGGTATTGGTCGTGTAAATATGGACGTGATTGGTGGAGAGGGTTGCTATAGGTCATATAGGTTGGCCATTTGAAGATTGGGGGGGGGGGGAATAAGAACACATTTCTGCAACTGTACAGAACCTGTGTGGCCCATGATTTACCTCACTACTCACGATGCAGTCTTGTGTATTGGATTATGTACAGTACTACAGTGGTTTGAGCAAAGTTCTTAAGCATTTAACTTTTGAGTGTGTATGTGTTTTTGACCAATTAAATTTTTTTATTATGTAGTATTAAAACCAATCCATTTGCATTTTTTGTTTACATTTTGTGATCCAAGCAACCTACAGTATAGCTTTCCTAAGAAAATAAATCGTCTTAAATGTCATGTACTATACAGTACAGTACAGGTATACAGTACATTATTTTGTGATACTGTGCCATTCCCCCAAAAAAATAAGTTACTTGATAAGAGGAGGAGACAGTGAAAGGGGCAGGATTTTATTATTACAGTACAGTACTGTATTGTGATTGTAATTACAGTACTGTACTGTATAGTATTACCCTATTTACAGAAGCTCACTGGGCCTGTTATTGTACAGTACCAGCCAATTTGTAATAATTTATGGTACTGTATATTAATTGCAACTAATACCGATTGTCAATAAAACTTTGTTTGGGCTGTGTTATGGCAACACTGAAATGTTATTTACGAGGTCCGACACAAAAATAACGAGACTGACCCTATAACTGGGGAACCAAGAGTGGGAGGGGAGGGACAAACAGTCGTTTATTGAACATGTTCTAACCTGTCACAGTGTGACAAGGCTCAACTCGATCGCTTCACTCGGTACAAGTAGACACGTGTTGAAGTATAGACGTGTTCTTACGCTCGGTCGGAAAATGTCGGACTGCAAAACTGAGCAACGGGTTAACATCAAGTTTCTCGTTAAACTTAAGAAATCCATGACAGAATCTTTTCAATTACCTATTGAATGAGGCTTACGGTGAAGATTACATGTCTCGTGCACGCGTTTTTTTATGCACAAAAGATTTTCGGAAGGCAGAGATACCGTGAAAAATAATGACCGCCCAGGCCGTCC